TTAGTTTCAGGGTAAATAATTGTGCATATTAATTACCTAATTTGCATAATTAATTTTCAGCTTTTCTACTGATATCTAATGTACTAATCATCACATTTCAATGAATCTAGAATTATGCAGAGACCCAATTAGTTTTTTGGTAAATATTTGCACATATTAATCACCTAATTTGCATAATTAACCAATTTCCAACTTTCACACTGATATCTCAGGTACTAATCATCACATATCAATGAATGTTTATACATGGATGCTGTAGGACAATAGACAGACCTGGATAATTGTGGGTTAAAATCTGTACATATTAATTACCCAATTTGCATAATTAACCAATTTTAAGCTTTCACACTGATATCTAAAGTACTAATTTCCATTTTAATGAAACTTAGTACAAAGATGCTCTAGGACAATGTACAAACCTAATTAGTTTGGGGTAAAACTCTGTTCATATTATTTCCCTAATTAGCATAATAATTCATAATTTTTTGGTTCTAATCACATTTCAATTAAACTTGGTACATAAAGTTTTTGTTACATTGCGCAGACCTCATTAGTTTTACAATCAAATCTGTTCATATTAATTTTCTGATTTGCATAATTAGTTTTCAGCTAAGTAATTTCAAATTATATTTAATGTGTCTCCAATACTCTCAGCACATGGGAGTTCTTTCTAAGCTTTCTTTGATTTTCTTCTTTCTTTTACTTATTTTTGTACCTGTGAATTGAAAGAAAATACAAATAAATTTTTTTTAGTATTATTGTGTAATGACGTGAAGAGAGAGATTTGACCTCAGTTTGTTACTCAATAGTTGTCAATACAGTGTTCAAAGGGCATCAGTAAAATGATTTATAAATTTAAATTTACATGCTATTGACACTAGAAACTTGTAATGCATGCAAAATATTACAAGTTGAATTTTGTCAAGATCCTAACCAATGACTAGTAGCCATTTTGTCTGCAGAAAATTAGTATTTTTGATCATTTTTTTTTCTCAATTTTACTTACCCAAAATGGCCCAAACACAGACAAGTACCTTCTAGCGCATCAATTGACCTGTGTTGTTATCCAATCCAAGATGGTTGTCAAAGTAGCCATTTCACATTTTGCTAATACATGCATTATTCCATAGAACTGGTGCATGAAATATAAGCTGACATTTCATTTGTCATAGATTAAAAGTACAAGTATAGAAGGGCTGTGACATTCTCAATTGCTGAATTATTAAAAAAATGAAACTCTGCAAAGCTCCTGTGTGAATACGAAATATACAATCGTTGTTTAATAAAAACATATCTATGAAATGAAAATTCCCTACAGTCGGTGAAAGACCAATGGCATTAGAGGTTAAGCTCATCAGCCAGCAGGTGTTCAACACCAATATAGAGCAAATTTAATCAAAAACTGTTTTGATTTTGCTTAAAAAAGGCTGAAATGAGAAAATTAATATGCAAATTAGCTATTTGATATGCATGATTATAGCCCCAAATTTAATTATTCTGTATATTACCCCAAGATACCTATGTACCTATATACCTATGTACACAGTTGTCACACTATTTTGTGTTCAATATGTATGCAATGTATACAGCATGTACTAGTAAAATACATTGAATGTTTACTGACAGTGGCAAGTAATTTAATTCACACAGAAGCATACTCTGGTATCTCTACATATTTTAATAATTACTTGTTTATGTTGGTTTCTGTAGGTTTGAGTTATCGTCAGACTGGTAGCAATAACATCAATGAACATTCCAGTCGTAGCCATAGTATGCTCACAATATTTATTGACAGTGAAGTGGTAAGTGATAAAGCATTTTATAGTATTCCATGCATTTCTTATCAAATAGTGTCATAATTACCACCAAATATTTACACTTATCTGTGAGTTTTGTCTTACCTGATATGAATATGATGACATTAAAAAACATAGAAATGTAAATATTTTGTAAATCACTTTAGTGTTTTAGTGGCTGTGGATAATAACATAAGCACATACATGTATAACATAAGTTGTTCGAAATGAGGGGGGGTACTTTCAGTATGGGTGCATCAAAATTGCACTACAGAAAACAAAAACAAACTAGAGAGCGAACTGAGCACCATATTATTTTGTATAGTCTGATCTTACCCACATGAAATGTTGATAAAAATTGACAAACTCTTTGATTAAGAACTATAATTAATATCTGTTACTTTTTGTATGTTCTAAAATGATTATGAAATTTACTGACAATATTACAAAATAGGAAAATATTTGCACTGAATTTTGGGCAAGTAAAAATATCTGGCACTCAAATGATTAAAACATTGGACATATGATCCCAAAAAAACAGGCAACATACAAAGTGGAAATGTACACAAAGGTATGTAAAAATGCAAACTGAACTAATATAGAGGTTTGCAATTTTGTGATAACCTTTTGCTCTTTTATCACTATTCACAAATTGTCTCCTATATCAAGTCTGTTGCCCTTTTAGTTATCCCTACCATTGTTGTAGTAATTAGAGGTTATTGTCACGAAATGACCCTGTGATATTGTGAAATATTTGGTATTTTCACAGGGTTGTGGTGTAATAAATTCTTTAGTAGCCCACTGTTGAGTCAGTCAACAGAGCGGTGCTGGTCACATTACTGTTGTTGTTTGTCAATATTCGTCGTCCTCCATCAGCATCAACTTTACATTTTCAGCTTCATCTTAAAAACCATCAGCTATGTGGGTTTTATACTCACTACAAATGTATCTTACTAGTAGGTGGATTTGTTGCTTTCAATAAAATAAGTTTTGTTTGGTTTTTATATAGGTACCCCAGGTGAAACTCTCACAGATTTGTTCATTTTGTAAAGATATCATCTAATTTTTAATTAATATTTTTGGTGAAACATGTTATCAACTTCAGTACTCTGGCTTTTACTTTGTGCATCTAAATACAAATAAAAAATCTTGTTTAATACACTATTACATACTGCTTATCATTCATTCCTTGCTTTGTTTTGATGTGTATCAACTTAAAAAAACTTTCAGTTAATTTGTATAGACACCACTGGTTAGCAGAATGGCATTTGGTTGGTTGGTAAATCTCTTGTCTGGATACACCTTTTCAAACTCAAAGTTTATTGTCAATTAAGTCTGGACATTCTTGTTGTTGTTGAATTAACGATCTGATTTTTGAAAACTACAAAACTGTATTCATTGCAAATAGATAATGAATGATATCACAAAACCAAAAAAGAAAGAAATTGAGTTGATGTCTACCATATGAAATATTAAAATCCAAAATGGGGAGAAATAATCCAAGATAATCTGTTACTCTTTCTAAACTGTGTATCAGGTTGGTTTCATAGTATGGATCTGAACTGAGCTATTTCATATTTCAGTCTATGGCTGCTTCTTTCAATGCCCAAAATACATGCAATTAAGCCTCTAAAACCATACAACTTTGAACAGTTGACAAACCCAGCCGGCAGCCAGTTGGCTGGTCTCTGCCATTTCAATAATTTAGTAGCTATTATGTTGTGTGCGGCATTAAATGATGTAATCAATGTTTGAAAGACACATCTCAGACTGGCGGAAATCACTTTGAATCAGGAAAAAGAAAACACATTAATGTCATTCAGAGCATGTTGTTGAAAACAAAGCGATGTGTGTTCATTGTTGCATTCATTGTGGCGTAATTCCTACTTAGATCACTGGACTATACTATGTATAAATATGTAACTACAGTTGTATGATGCAACAAACTTTGTTCTCATGGCTACATTGTACAGTAAGGTCAATGACCAGGAAATGAACTTTGTTGGAGTAGCTAGCTTTGTTCTAGAGTATAATTGTAGAAGTTGTACCAAGTGATTTTTTGTGAATTCTAGCTGTCAGTGCAGTAGTTGAACAGTGATTATAATGTGGTTTTCCCTGTCTGTGTATTTGTACATGGACATTATCTTCGTACAAAGACTATTTAAAATGGTATACAAATGCACTTCATTTTGTTTTTGGATTTCACTGATGTTTAACCAAATGGTGGCCATTTTTGTCCCAAAAAGTACCAAAAATTAACTTTCCAACATGTATTTATCAGGAATAGCTGGGCTGATTTTCATTCATTTCATTTTTGATTTGACACAAAATGACAGACTGGTAACCATTTTGTTTTTATGTATCCTCACTTGTTTCTCAGACATATTTTGATAGTTTTTTTTTTTAATTTTAGTGCAAAAACACAATTTCAATATCAAATTCAATACCTGTTTCACAGGCATGTTGGCAATGATTTCATTCAAATTTAATAATGAACATCAAACACATCACATGATAAACATAATTTTGTTGTACTTTTTTTTACACAACCCATATTCTATAAGGAACCTTGAGATTAATATAGTGCATGTAGTATTATGAAGCCCGCAAAGCCAGTACATCATGTTTACATCCTGAATTCTTATTTGTTCTTAAATATCTAGATTTTCAATGGGCAAGGCTGTAATAGTTATACTATACTTATTTATTAATTATGTGTATATCCAAAACCATATGTGTAAAGGCTGCTGCTGATTTAGACCAGAGTTACAGGATAAAACTTTGACATTAAGTTTTATTTAGTGACTCGTACATTTTAAAATATCAAATACAAAACTATTGGTGGGAGCAATGACATGTAAACATCATTTTCATTGTTAACCTAAAACAATATAATCAACCTCAGCCCAGAGATTAATTATTAAGTATTAAAGAATATGAGTTGTTTGTGTGTGTCCAGCTTGCAATGTAGAGCTATTCATTAAACGGTTGATTTGATTACCGAACCATAAATCATTGTTAACATTGTGTACATTAGTAAAGAACAGGTGCTCAAGAAAAAAACGGAAATTAGATGTTAAATAGCGCCGCCTAGTGGCAGACAGTAGTGATTGTTGTTTGTGTTCCTCCAAAAGTATTGAAGGATCGCTGTCTGGTTAGAAATATTGTATGATGTAATCAGCTTGAATTATGGACAAATAAAATGCATGATAGCAATAACTGCATTATTTCTATGCCAAAATTGCAATTTTTTCTTTGGTTATTGTTTATTAATGTCAGGTTTAGAATGCTAAAATTTGGATGCAACATTTTTCATATTTTTTATCTTCATTTTGTTAATTTTGAATTAAAATCAACATTTTTTCCATTAGCTGCAGGTCTTGATCAAAATGAGTAAAAAAAATATGGAAATCAAAATTATGTAAATTTATTTTTTTGTGACAAGGTGACTATGGTGTTAAAAGAGTAAACCTTTCCCGCTAAAATTGTTCTGCACTTCTGTACTTTTCTGGAAATGAACGCTAATTTTGGAGCCAACAATCTTCTGAAAGAAAGTGCAGACTACAAACATGAGAAATTTAAGAAAGAACTGGTTGTACATGTACTACTGACAAATACAAACAAATATGTTGAATATTTGGTGATTTTTGTCTTTTCATTTTTGTTGTTACAGCCTGATCCAGACGATGACACACTGTACATAACTAAACAAGGAAAGTTGAGTTTTGTAGATTTAGCTGGAAGTGAAAAAATAAAAGAGTTAGGTAACACCGGAGATCTTCTGTCAGAAACTACAAATATTAACAAAAGTTTGCTCACACTTGGTAAGTAAATATATTTTATCTTGTCATAATTTTTTTTTTTTACTCAGGTGATTAATTGTAACTGAACAAACCAGGACTTTTCACACTCAATATAAATCTTTTTTACTTAAGTTGACAGTTGTGAGATTGTTTAGTCTGTGTTCCAAAAGTTGAAATAATCAGTTCTCTGTTGATATATGTTCTGTTGTTCACAGTGAATGCAAAGTAAATAATTGGTTTTAAGTACTGTAATGAAAATAATTACAACATCAAACTTTATACTTGTGTTTGCACAATTTCACAAGTCACAATGGCACTAAGGGCCTTGAGTCAATGACACTGATTCATGAATGCATGACACATACTTGATTATTTATTATATTATAATTCAAAACCCTACTGGTGGCTGGAATTGACTCCACAAAGTAACCTAGTAAAATCTTAGTTTTGTGCATTGAATTTCTCTCAAAAAATAAAAGGTGTGTAAATCTATGGCATGTCAGTCATAGTTTTATATTCTGTACTCAGAGGTCGTAAAAGTAGCTGTGTACCCAAAGTTACTGCATATGTATAGCTGTGAGTCTAGAATTAGCAAGGAACTAGGACTGATTATAATTCTGATACATGAAAAACAAAAACATAGTATCAATTGCACTACTGATTATACACATGAAATTAATGCGTATGAGTATTTTTAAAGGTTTTCAATTTATTTGTTGTTTCGTTATGTATTCATTTCTACTTGCAGGAAATTGCATATCTTCTCTTAGTGATCCCAAAAAGAAAAATGGTTATATCCCTTATAGAGATAGTAAATTAACTAAACTACTAGCAGACAGTCTAGGTGGGAATGGAGTTACGCTGATGGTGAGTCAAAGCATTACAAAGACTATGGTGATTTAATCAGCATATTTACATTTCATAGATGTTGCTAATGGTCTGTGCACAGTTTTGAATAGCAGTAATTTTTTATGCATTGTTGTATTTATTCTGGTGGTCCATATATGTACACCAGAGAATGCAGTTTAGTGGATCAGTTGATTTAATGAGATTTTTTTTTTCTAGATTGCTTGCGTATCTCCATCAACCTACAGTGTATCTGAATCCATGAACACCATAAGATATGCAAACAGAGCCAAGAAAATCAAGAATAAACCAGTTATTAGAATGGTAAGACATTTTACCTTATTCTCATTCTTGTGTTATGTTTTTAGGAAAAGTTGATGTGAGTGATGAGGGTTGCTTCTCAATTTCACGTATTGTGCACAGCTTATTAAAGTGTGCATTGCAATTGTATACTTTCAATATTTATTTGTGAGTACTAAAAACAAAATAAATTTTCTTTTCACCACTCGGTGGCGCTAATCTAATCTGCTTTAACGTAAATGTTTTACTCGCTGTGAGTTCAAGTGTTTTTGTTCTAAAGGGGTGAGGTTATAATATTAGAGATCATGTTTTATTCATTTAGGACCCAAGAGAAAAACTTATCATGAGTTTAAAACGAGAATGCAAGTTGCTGCGTTCTGAAAATGATTATCTGAGAACACAGTTCACAAAGAAGTTGAACGGAGGAGAGATTTTACAATTACCCAAGATGCAAACTACAACCAATGGGCATGTAGCTGTTAACTCAAGTAAAAACAGTCAAGTTAAGAAGGTGGAGGATGTGAAAAAAGAGAAAAGTACAAGAAGGGAAAGTACAAACAGGTGACATTAACATACAGTACTGTTTTCATCCAATCACGTTTCTCATTTTTATTCACATCCGGCTCACATTGTATATTGTAGCGTCCCACACTAGGGACCAAATAGACTGGCTCAACCATGGTAATCCTATAGTATATTTCTTACCACAAATAATTTACACTGTCAGAGTGGCAGTTAAAATGCAAATGATTTTAAAATAAATGCTTGACCTAAAAGCAATCAATGGGTGCTGTGGATGCAATGTATGTGAATTTTACAAAATCCAGACAACTTTTCTGAGTGCCTTCAACAAGTATTCTCTGCGTAGCAATGCTTGATACAAGTAGCAAATATTAAGACAAGCTTCACTAAACTGTAAAAATACTGTAAATATATTAATTATCCACTGGTTTTAATTTCCCTGGTAAAAAACGGTAAAATCTTTTAAATTAAATCTACATGGACATAACAATAAAACTTATTGTTTCCTTGACAAATTCGTGAAATTAATATAATAAAATATAATAATATAATAACATAATATAATATTATGCTCAAAACATCAAAATAGTGAAATTAAATTTTCCTATTCTAAACCATGAATCAAATTACCTGAAAGTAAAGGCATGTAGTAATTGTCATGTCTTGCATTCACTAATAAGTGTCATTGACTCAAAGCAATAATTGTCTGAAATTTTGCTGATGTGTACTATGGTATTAATTGGGGACTTGTTGTTTTACTATTGACAATATAAACTGTGTTTGCTTTACAGTTCTATAAGTACAAGTTTAAGCATGAAATCTGCCGCTGATAATGGCTTGTATGAAATGCTACAAGAATATATGGTGGAAAATGAGAACTTGAGGTCTGAAAACAATGAGTTAGTGGGTTCCAGGGAACGGGCCAGAAGAGAACATGAGCATTTATCAAAAGAAAATGATAAACTTGTGCGGAAGATGGAGGACTTAGAAAGGTATGGGAAGTTAAAATTAAGGGTGGTCGTCATACTACATCCACCCTGTAAGAACTAACATTTTTATAGCATATTTTTAAAGTCTGTACGCCAGCCAGAATTACGTATTCAAGAAACTGACATATTAGTTTAAGTTGATGAAAACGTTTTTTGTTTATCTTTTTTTTTATATAACTAAAATCTATGGTTTATGTAACTGATTGCATGTTTAACTATAGATTTGATCTATAATCAATTACTTGTTTCATAAATTATTACTAATTGTAATGCCTTATCATTTTTTTTTCCTTTTTATCTTAATTAATTTTTATTTTGAACATTTATTATTTTGTTTGGTTTGGTTTCGTTCCCTTTCTATTATTTTCAGAGTAATGGTAGCGTCACCTGTTTCCTTTGCCAGATATAGTTTTTTTAGCAGAACCAGCTCTGGAAGATCGTCCAGACCGTTAGTATTAGGGAGTGTCAACTCGTCATGGTCTGAAGCCACTACTGCCCTCTTCCAACAAGACACTACCCCGCAGATGCAGTACCCGCCCCCTCAGTATCAACAGCCTTCATTACTACCTCGACAGTCTCCCCTCCAGCAACCCCCTCCAGGTCAACCCCCTCCAGGACTCCCTGCACAGGCATTTCAACAGTATTCTCAACAACAACAGCTGCCGCCCCCACCACCACCACAGCAGGCGTATCAAGGAATACCACATGGCAGCAATGCTGGAGCCGCAGCTTCAAACCCAACAGTACAAAGAGACACCAGAGTAAATGGACACCATCAGCCACCTCTTACTTATAGAAAAGAACAAGTCCCTCCAAAGAAACAGGTAAGCACTTAATATTGTCACCAGTATGCGTATCATTTCAATTGAACAAGCCATGCCCACAGTATTACGCTAAACTCAGCAATTGGCATGTTATCATAGCTCACCAGTCTATTTGGATCATTCAGTGATCTGTGCCCAACCATGTCCTTCCTTGAGTACCGGTACATCTTCTTAAAAATAATTAATCATTTGACTTGGTGTTCAGTATGTAGTTGCCTTGATGAGTGTAGATGGCGATTTGTTCACATGATGTTTATCCACAGTCCTATGCAAACGATTTGACAAAAACTACCAAAAATGGACTTTTCACATTTAAATAACCTCTTCTTTGACACCTAGATATAACACTGCTGTTTTTCATAAGTGCAGTCACCATCTAAAACCTGATTCATTTGACGTGGGTGCCAATAATCTTTTCGTCTCTTGACAGCTACATGAACTCCCACCAGTAGACAACATGAAAGGTGTGCCTAACAATTACAAGGCAAGCAAACAACCACCATATCAACAACAAAAGATACCATCTAAACAGGTGTCACCACAGCAACAACAGCAAGTAGTAACATCCACAAGTAAAAATAAACCATTGTAAGTATCTTTTCATATTGATGATAATTTGAATATTTTTGTAATCACATGATTGTATAGTGTAACTTTATCTGTAGCTCCAATAACTCCAATGATGTTTTATCTGCCATGAAGTTGTGGGTTTGAACCCTAACTTTTTCAATAATTTAGAAAGAAATCAATCTTCAACTTCAGACTTTTCACTTTGGCTAAGTTGCAAAGTCTGTTCAATTTACAATATGAAAACTTAAATATGCAAACATGTATACAAATATGTATATTCAATAAGCTATTTGAGATTAATACAACATAGGTTTACAATGACACACATTGCAATTAACACATGACCTAAATAATAGGTTACAAACGTAGTTAAGAATCGCCCTGTTTGCCGTAAATCATATATTTTTAATAGAAGCTATACAAATAAGTATCTTGAAGGAAATCTTCTGTTTAAAATTGACGGCCTGTTGAATTTGAGTCACTGTTTTGTGAAATGTGAAATGAAATTTTGAATTTAATTGGTAATTTAAGCATTTTAAATTGATGGACAAAATTAATTATTTATTGTTCTGTTTTATTTTTATTTCCTGAATTTTTTAATCGTTTATTTTTCATGTTATGGGTAAGTCAATTAAATTGAATAATACATGTAAATACATGTGTACTATATATAATTTATTATCAAATAGTTCACCTCTGCATATAAATAAATAATAAAATCTTATTCATTTTTAAACTGTTCATATTCACAAGCTGATAAATGATAAATATATATATAAATGTTAGTTAGTTGTATGAATATATAAAAATGGAAATGTTTTAAAATTTGCCAGTTTTGTTTATATATGCTGCAAGTTCATTACATATCATTCTGATTCATGTTCAGTAGCATAGAATAAAACCCAAAAGTAAGGTAATTTCAACATGGGCAAGGCTTTGTGTTTGCATGTTTGCTGTATATAGTAATAATAATTTCTCTATTGGTCTAGTGAAAGTGAAATGGGATTGTAATCTGTTCAACACTGATTTTATAAACAAATAATGAATAATAAAAATGAATCAATGCTCAAAAGATTGTATAACTTGAAAGAAACATTTCAAGATTAAAACAAATCAATTACATATTTATGACAAAACCTTAATTTCATGTTACTGAATAACTAATTGGGTGTAAGTTACTCAAAGCCCTTATAGCTGACATGTTTGTGATCAGGCATTGTGTTTTGTTTCACTTCATCTATGTTTTAGGCCTATTAAAATACAAATGTGTTGTATAATTTGAGCCAGTGTGCAGAAGTCCACTGTTATTGACCTCATAAAATTTTATTGATTACTTGGAAATAACAGGTAACCAATAATTATTTGGTTCATCAAAAGTTTTATATCGGACCAAACTCTGTGTTCCTGGGCCTTATGCCATTTTAACAATGCCATGTGTTGGTATCATGGATCAGCTGATCCAAATTTCATATGGAATTATGTTATTTTATGACTTAAATCCACAATCGTATATATCAGATAATGTTGTCATTCCTATCATGCAAAATAAAACGAGCTATCAGAAAATATGAAGTGTACCGGTAGGTAATAATGTTTTAATTATTTTTCACAGGGAAAGTCCCCGAGGTCAAGATGGTGGGAGTTATGTAGATAGGTTTCAACAGCAGCAGACATTTAACAAATCCTATGGACCTCCAGTGGCAAACCGTCCACATGAACAGACCACGCCTAGACAGGCAAATATCAATATACCCCCTGTAAGAGGACTGGAAAGAAAAGGTATATTGTGTAACCCAACAAATGTTGGCTTTTATGGCATCTGAAATAAAAAATAATAAAATATGCATATATATATATATTTAAATTACACAAATGCTCAAACTTCATTCTGTGGACTACTTGTGTGGATTGCTTGATAAAAAATACACTTTAACCTTGTTATAATGAACACCTTTATAATGAATTCCCTTATATAATGAACACATTGCATGTCTTCTGCTCATAACAAAATCTATGTATTATGTGCTTCATTATAGTGAACAATTCACTATAACAAACTAATTGTCTGTCCCCCAAAAAGTTTATTGTAACAAGGCTACATTGTATATATCATTTATTTTTTAAAACCCTACTACTATTATAATAAAATATAAATTACTTTTTAGCAATGACCTTTTGATATTTCATATATGTACTGGAAATTAGCAATGCTAATGTTTTTTTTTCTCCAATGTTTGTGCAGTACATCCCATGTTCAGCTGTAATGCAAATATTATTGACTGGAATAGGTTTCTATGAGAATGATGTTGTTTATATTTGTAATTAACAATTACATGTACACTATTCCAAAGATATCTGAATCAGCAGCTTCTTGTCATTAATCAAAAGTTACAAAGCATTTATGTTTTTTGGTGATTCAGTATTCATCATCTTAAGGCATCATTAATTTTTTTTTATATTTACCCTCTTTCCCTGAACAAATTTGGAAGATGATTACGAGTCAGGTTCACCTCATCAAACACAGATACTCAAACAAGTTCCATTAAGCACTAGAAGTAGCACTGAAAAGCTTGCTAGCAATAAACAAGTTAAAAGTAAAGCTGATAACAAAGGTAAACTAGATGTGGCATGGTAGTGTGTGCAGTGGCTTGGGATATGGTGCTTTAATCAGCTTCACATTAACATCAACTATTACATTATACACTAGCATTATTTACTGTTCAATATTATATCTTATTACTAAGGTGCACATTATTCACAGTTGTGATGTTTAGTGTTAAATATCACTAGCTGATATGATAGGGTAAATATCACAATAATCGAGTTAAACGTCATTTTATGCATGTTCAAACAGTATGTGGAGGAAATCAAATTGTGTGGCGGTACTTTTCTCCTATCTATTGCAGCAATATGATAATTTCAGATAACAATAACATAACATAATAATATCAACTGAATTTTTTTGTTTAAAAAAGATATTCATTGAAGGGTAACATTTCTGCAAATTTTGGACAACTATTTGAGGACATAACTCCTAATTTGCATCTTTCAATTCCCTTATAACCTGTGCATTATTAGCATAAAATATGATTTTTATCAAAGTGTAGTTCTCTAATTATGATTTCTGTTATTTTGACATTTTGAGTTTCGCCTATGTGATAAAAAGATTATCACCGGATATCATTTGTTCACAGTTGATAACCGCCTTTGATTCATGGATATCTCACTCATATTAACCAGCTTTTCAAACAAATGATATCAGGTGATAACATGGTGTATAATTTGTATATACTTTTTCTTACTGGGTAATTATTTCTAGTGCAATATACTAATGCAAGGAGGTTGAGTATCCAAATGTCCTCATTTGCCATTCTTCATCTTCTAAATATAAGTTATCTTCAATTTTCTAATATTATCTTTAAGTGCCACCACAATTCTTCTCGCCAAAATTTTGGTGCAATATTTTTCCTATTTTTAAGTTTTATTCCATAATTTTTTTGAATTTTGATTTTGTCAATGGCCGTGGAAATTTCAATTAATCAAGATTAAAAATAATGTTTTTTAATTGCATGTTTTAGGGTATTTTTTCTTTGTTTTGTACTGCCTAATATGTTACTGACAATGCTCCTAATTAATTTGATTTAGGAAGATATTCACTATGTTTTAAATTCAATGGTTTGTGAGGGAAAATGGTTAAATTTGCATATTCAGCAGTTTTTGATCCAGCAAACTAAGCCAAAATAAAACCCAGTTAATACCGGTAATTACTAATTAATAATTACAACAGTGTATATTATTTCATGTTATATTTAGGTTCACTATGTTTTCATTAAACAGGATGACGATTAGCTTATAATTAATTTATTGTTTTTTTCAGTAACTTCTGATCCCTTTCTAAATGACATCCCACCAACACCTGTAGCCACTCCCCCTGCAGTGAAATACACACCAAAAGGATCACATCAAATGTTACAAGTGTCAACATTGGATGTATCCCAAAATGCAAAGCAACCAGGTAATATATGTTCATCAATGTTTGTATTGAGATTGGCCCACATTTTTTACTGACATAAACTGTTTCGCTGCTAGAGGGCAGTAATTACTTTAAACCGCTTCCCTTCTGCAAGAAACTAATTTTCCCAAGTTGGTGACAATCATGGAATTTTGTATCTGTGATAATGACACAAACACTATTACCCGTTACATCATCAAATTGCAAAATTTCCATGGGGTGAATTAAAATCAAGGGCATCAAAAGTGCTATACCTGTTTCTTTTTTGTTTGTCAGGTAACTGGGATCAAATAAATGATAAACTACGTGAAGAGCTTCAAGAACTAGATGGTGAAATAGAATACATGAAATATATGAATAAGTCTCAGACATCGACAACAACAACAACAACAAAACCAACAAATAAACCAGTACCTAAACCAAGGAGAAGATAATACTTGGTGAATTACAGTTATCGTCAACATAAGATATGTAGCCGTAATCTGTGACTTCTAATATGTTTGAAAGAACATTGATGACAATATTTCAGGAATTTTTTGAGAATGGATATTGATATTGCAGTCAATGTGGACATATGGACACGTTTCTGAATGGACCACTGTGCACAAAATATTGTTATTTGCATGGTTTAATGTGTTCAAGGTAGCAGCAGAGAAGAAATACATTTCTAACTAAAAAAACAAATTTGTTACTTTCTTGACTGGTGTTTAGCTGTACTGTCACATAATGAGCTACAAAATAACGTTTCTTCGATTGCTTTTATTATTCGTCTTTGAATTATGATGACAAGATCAGAAATGTTTTGCAAGTGTGCTCCGATTTATGATTGAATGCATAAAAAAGAGCTTCCGGGTGCCACTCATATATTTGCTACCTTGTAAACAAAATGTAGGATTGATGAACGACCAGAAATAGCTCATCCTATGGAAAAAACTGTTTGAGCATATTTTGAATATGCATACTTTTAATCTCCAAAATGATAAAATAAAAAAAACCCAAAGTTTCAGGTGCCTCGATTACCTTAAAAATGGAAAGCCGATACAAAAGACATGTTACTTTATGTTTGCATATCAGGACTTGTATAAATATATATATATATACATATAAACAATGAAATATTGAAAAGTGTACTTTTTATAATGTGTTGTATATACCTTGTATTTATACTGCAAAAGAATTCATACTTTGGTTTGTAAAATATTTGTAAAAAGGATTGTAAGTGCAGTTACAGAATAAATTTGACATTTTAATTTCACCAAAGTTGGTGATTTCTGATCTTTTCTTTTCTTTTACTTACTGATATTCATTTTGTGCACATTTCTGCTACATTCAGACATATCACTTTTACACATGTATTTATAACATGTTTGAAACCTTGTCATACCCTTTTTTCTCTCTCTCTGTCTGTCTTTCTTTCTATTTATCAAATTTGTTATCTCCACTGTTGATACACTGAAGGGTATGCTGTCTGTTGCCAGCATTAGTCTGTCAACTTTGTTTGAAATCATATTTGTATGATTCTTCAATTTTATATGGTGAATATTTTTACAATTCTAGTTTTTAAAAAATGTTTGATATTTGTGTTGTGTGTAAAGTATCGCTTTAAGATCTGTTCATATTGTAATGATACAATTATCTATATTTTGAGAATATTTTTTGTGATTTTTTTTTTCTATTTTTTGGTACTTTTTTCTTCACATCACTTGCTGTAGTGAGTGTCCTAATTTATATATTGCTGATCTGAGATTTAGTCTTGTGAGCAACATTACCATATGAGTTACACTTCTGTAAATAAAAAGGTTTGATGAATGCATACATTTGTATATCATAATTATTTGTTATTTGCTGGACAATCAATTAAATAATGCACATCAGTGACTGTATTTTGCTGTCAGACTCAGAATGAGAAAGATTGATTGGCCGTGAGTTGATTTTAGTGTCATATATATAGTATTGCCTTGTATATATGGATGCATTGATTTAACTGACTGTAGTTATCTGTAGACAGCCCTCATTTACATTATTTATATATAAGGACAAATTAACTTGATATAAATGGCTTCTCTGTGATTAAGCTTTGACACGATCTGTGCTGTTACATTAATTGTGCATTTATGAATTTTCAGGGTTTTCATTTTATGGGAGGAAATAGTTATGCTGTTACCCCCAAAAAGGGTTGTGTTTTCATAACTTTCAAACCTGTTCACTAATGAAGTCACTGAAAGTGGTTAAGACTCCAGGCACAGACTCTGTACATGTGTTGACTTCCTGTGCTGGTCCTGTACAGTGTATGAAAAGTGTCTCATCTTGTGAACACAATATGAACCCTACAGTATGCTGATTCAGTTGGTTCCCAAAGCCTAGAGACAGAAAGCTTGTCAGATCATGTGTAGCTTCCCATCCACAATTTATTGGGTTGGATCCTGTACAGTCAATCTCATATGTCATTGCTTCCTCTGCTGGCCGAGAGGTATTACCCAAGCACACATACCACAACATTGACACCAACAAATCACAATGCTGTGTAATGCACTGCATCTGCTGGTATCTGCATCCAGTCAGAAACCTAAGTTTGCTTAACACTTGATGGTTTCCCAAACCTATGCCACATATACCAATTGTGTTCCGCATAGGGTTATGCATGCATGGAAAAAATCCATTACAGATCTGTTCGCACCTTCAGTTATTTCATGCCTTTCTTGCAGACAAAGTCAGTTTCATCAGGGGGGATTGCCGTCTGCATCAACTAATCCTATTTTCTAGTCAATTGTTCCTGGTTCCAAAAGAATAAGGGGTCTTTCCTTATGGAAAGTCCTTGTATGCAATTTACTTGGCAACAGTACACAAGAAAACCCAGCTAAATGTGGGTCTCTTGCATATACGCAGAGTACACTCAAGAAATTAGGTCTATATGCGACAGTTACTTAAGAACCAAAGGGCTTCTCACCTCCTGTGGTGTCACCCCTAAAGTCTCCTTGGCCTTGCAGGAACTGGTACCAGGACCTCCTGGGTTGGAACCCCCATAGTAGATGCCATTTACGTTTAGAATGTGTGCAGGGTTTGGGTTTTTGCCACAAGGACGAGTATTCAAATTGGGATGCTGAGAACTGGGATCGCATTTGTGTTGCTGAGGCTGTCCGTGCTGCTCAAGTTCGGACTCACCGCGCGGTCAGTTCGGTGGACCTGGGGGTGTGAGTGAGAGGAGTGCTAGTATGAGTGGGAAGTCCTCCTGTTGATCTACCAGTACCTCGGGTACTGCGTCAACGAGTGAGGGGTCCAGCAGAAGTGGAGTTGAGTCTCCCCCTCCATCCTGCTAGCCAGGGAGCCAGTACTAGGGACTTTTCGCAGGGCGCTGCCTCCTCTGCAGATCCCTCCCCCTTCGATGACCTGCAGGCGTTCCCAGAGGGGACCAACTTGTTTATCAGAGGTTTGATTAGACACGTCCTTGCTCACTTTCTTAAAGTGAAGGGACCCCAGGTGGGTTTGGTGACACCTGATTCTTCGGCTCCATTCTCCAGAATGAATCTGTGAACCACGCCGTTGGGGTGAGACAGGAAGTCATCAGGCCTAGTGACCCGATGTTCATACCCCCACCCTTGATCCTGAAGCAGTCCCTCTCGATAGCATCATCACTTCTGGGATCCCAGATGGCAGGATCCAAGGTAACATCACCTGCGCAGCTCCCCTGGTCCACCAGTCCTGGGTGCACAGATAGTGGGTATTGGTCTCCTGCGGAAGAATATAAACCTTTTTGGCTAACTCTTTTTGCTGGACCAAGCGCTATCCAATTGGTGTGGTGTCTGGTACCGGAACTGGCAGAGTTTGGTTTGGGTCTAGCGTACTTGGGCAATGCCGACCTCATCACCCTACCAGCAGTATGCTTTTACTATGGGGACAACACTGGCAAGGTAAGACACCGTTTTTACTGGTCTTAGCTAGGTGGTAGTCATAAGCAAAATTTGTCCCAAGATGGGACGCCCTTTATTTTGAGTTTTTTGTGTTTTGCTCAGAAACCCACTACCGTTCAGCGTCTGACTATGTATACAGTTCAAAGTAGTAATTTTGACTGACCGGAGACTATGGTGGGTAAATGAACGTATTGAATTTAGGCAGAGGGTTTTCAACCTGCCTATTCACCTAGTTCATAGCCACCATAGACTCCAGGACCCTCCCAACTATCCCACTTTCCGTAGTTATTGGCTTTAAGTCCACGTATACAGAGAAACAGGGGAGTGAATATAAAGCAAGATTGCCACTGGCCTCTTGATTTTTGTCACATTATACGCGACATGGAAGAAAATCTATAGGTCATGGGGCTTCCCCTGGCCTGGATTTCTCTCTCCTTAATTGGCTGAATTATAGATTAATGTCTAAAATATTCATTTTAACTGCCCAGAGTCTATGGTGGGTATGAGCTAGGTGAATAAGCGGGTTGAAAACCATCTGCCTAAATTTACCATTTGTTTCCAGTCAATGCACAGATCACAATTATAAAATGAATGAAAGAAAACTGCAGTTGTTACAGCTCCAATTTAGGCACAAGGACCTTGAGACATGTTTCAGTTTTTAAGAGGCATCTCACTTTAATTTAGGTCACTCGATGTGTGTCTCTTTCAAGATGCATAAACTGGTGAGAATTTAACACTGTAGACAAGTTCTTGCACAATAATTTTCAAATTAATTCAAACAAATTACAGTAGCACATTCAGATATGTCATGCTATGTTTTCTGAGGCCTACCAAAGAGAATTGTGCAGTTTAAATGAGATGCACTTTTTGTCAGCTGTCACATGATTTATGTTTTTCTAGAATTTCAAATTCTAGTATGGTATCACAACAACCTTACATGTCCCCGGGACATGAAAACGTCTTTTCATAGTGGGAAATTTAACCTGCATAAACTTGTACTTCATTGTATTTTGTCTCTTTAGTCCATAGGCTTCGTAAATTGAAGATGCATGGAACTACACTTACTGGTCTTAGCTAGGTGGTAGTCATAAGTAAAATTTGTCCCGAGATGGGACGCCCTTTATTTTGAGTACTCTTTTTGTGTTTTTCTCAGAAACCCACCACCGCTCAGCGTTCCGAACAACCATTAACAAGAATGATGAAAAGCAGAGAAGAGATGAGTGCAACTGGGGGCATTTGAGGATAAATATAAAACACAAATCGAGGCCTAGGCGAACTAAATTTAATTGTATTTACTATTTTGAACATATTTAAATAACAAAAGTTCTACTGACCACATGCATTACTATGTCCAAGAGATTTAATTCCACTGTTTACTATTTTATAGACATATATTCTATGATCAAATATGCAAATAAAAATTATTAATAATATGTCTACCTCTGTATGCATGAGCTCTTGGGTTTAGTTACACCAATGGATCCTGGAACCTATATGCGGGAAGTACCAGATAGATTTAAGCTATACACGAAAGGTACCCAACATAACTTGAGACCTATAGACAGGAGGTACTCGATAGATCCTAGGAACTAAATGTGGGAGGTACCAGATAGATTTGAGTTGTACGCACGAGGTAACCAACAGATCCTGGGACCTATGTGCGGGAGGTACCCGATAGATTACGCAAGAAATCATAACCAAAAAGTACTCGAGAGATAAACAGCATATACGGAAGGGAAATTTCCATAAGGGGTTGAAACCAGTGATGGACTTGTCATCTCTGAATCAATTTGACCTACAATCAAGCCAAACAACTACACGGTGACTCTGGACCTGAAGGACGCATACCTACATATACAAATACACCTTGTGTTTGATAAGTTTTGCAGTAGACAACACACTGTGCCAATTCTGCGTACTTCCATTTGGTCTCTGCTCGACTCCTCTGGTGTTTACAAATATGTGCAAGATGGTGTTTTACTCCACACCAGTGGCATTTCCATCTACTTGTATACTTCATCTACATATACTATCTACTTGTACATAGTCATCTGGTTTCTTCGTTGTCAGAATAATAGTACAAACCAGTGTCACTAGCAAGGTCATTAGGGATAGGGAAATCTCAGTTAGAGTTAACCCAACGTCTGCTACGATCAAAGAGAGCCTTTATATGATTTTCCTTTGTCATTGTCTTGTTCTAGTGATTTCATTTGTCACTAATTTTTATGAAACTTTTAATCCAGCATAAGTTTTTATCCTATAGACATGATCAAGTCCATAAATATAGTGGCGAGTAACATTGGGCTCATTTACATTCTATTTTAGTGTCCCAATTAACTCCAGTTTTTAGACCTTATCACTGATAAGGATTAGCTTGATAATACCCAAGTTTTAGATTCATCAACTCCAGTTATAGGATATATATGTGAATTAGTAGAGCTAATGGCACGAAATGGGTTATTTTATTAGGTTCACCCAATGTATATATTGGGTCTAGCGTACTAAGAAGCCAAATAGCATTTTACCAAACATGACAGAAATATACACTACATTACAGAATTCAAAATATCTTTTCTAAATGTTCCAATCTATTTTGGATCCACCCATGGAGTAGAGGTTTCCAAAAAGAAGTCAACACTAATATTTGTGATCAAAATTACAAAAAATATTTATTAAACGTAGATAATTGAAAGTATCGTCACAAAATGATCAAATCTCATAGAGTTTCACCCAATGAACATATGTAGTATGTATTACAAAAAATAGAGTTAGTGGTTTTCAAAAAGAAGAACTGACAATATCCCATACCAACAGATCTGCCTGTCATTCTCGAAGACGGCCGAGCTAATAAAGATTTTCACTTCAAAATGAAATATAACGTGCATTTTACAACATAAATCATATCGTATTGTATAATTCCTTTATATTTATGGATACACAATTTTGTATTGAACATAAAACACAAGTACACTCATATGTTTATGGTAATTACAAAATATTAAAAATTACTATTATCCATCATATACACCACAAGGTTTACGAACATACATAGTTTTCACGTAAGAGTTCTTTGTTACAAAATATGTGGTATACCTGCTACATTATATCTTATTTTACAATTATTTTAACTTTTAAAAGGTATCCTTCACATTTATATCCAGAAATATGTACATAAATATCTCCACTCAAAAATGATTTGCATCACAAAATGTAAATCACATAGTAATTACAAACATTATATGACAATTTCATTTACTCGTGGATAGCCATTAAATAAATAAAATATATTACTTTTGTTTTATTATGATGTTTTTTAAAATGTATTTATTAGTATGATATGTGATGTTAATCTAGTATTAATGACATAGTCCTCGTCAATTATTATGCGACTTTGCCATTTGAATATCATACACTGACTGCAAAGTATAGCGCTTGAAGCGTATAACATCGCTCTATGAAGACCTCGACGCATAGCCAATACTATTAGAACAAAACAGCGCCAGCAGTCGATGTGTTAAAGTGAAGAGCATTGACTTTGTATGTATCAGTTTTACATTGACGTCTATGACTGGTTGTCACTAGTGACGTCATCTCACTTCACAGCTTCCATCTGTCTTTACATTCTTGCTGCTATGTCGAGTGTTGCCATCTTCTGACATGCATTCAGAAGCTGGGCTACACTGATGCCTGTTTTGACAAGTGCTACTGGAGTACTGATGTACAAACACAATCGCCATAATCCGATCGAGTAGGACAGGAATCGAACTAGTAAATAGAAAACAATTGACATGTTACAGTGCATAGGTATTGATGGAATGACGGTAACCACGATTTTAAAACCTGGCTGCAGCTCGGATTTTTTTTATAAGAAGATTGTTGCAAACACTGAATACAATTTCACACTATATGCAAAAAACTA